TGGGACACATAGCTAGGCCCCCAAACACCTCAGGTAGGTAGACCTCTGAAGTTCCCCATACCTCAAGGGCCAGAACAATCATGCCTCAACATTACTTTCAAAAAAATGTTTAGTCAAACAGGATCATAGTCTTGTGCATCAATAGTAAACTCATCTTCTCAGGAGGATTCCATGGCTGATGGAATCGGAGGCTGCCGAGATACTCAGCACACACAACCACAGTGTTGAAAGCCAGCGCACTGGCGGGCTCGGGCAGGCGTTCCCGTATGATGCCAGTCGTGCCGCTTTTGCCGATTCTGATTCAGCAGAAGAATATTTCAGTAAGATGTGCAGGTGATTAGCCCAAGGGCAGATGCGGAGGTGGACCAGACAGATCCCGGGAGCAGCATGGAGATGCAGCTCGCCGGCGGGGCGCTGAGGCCGGGGAATCCTCAAAAGGACATCAGCCCCTCTGCTCAGAACTGGCTCCCGTGGCCAGGTTTCAACACGGGTGCGAGGCTCAGTTGGATGGGGAGCGTGTGGAAAAGAGGCATGCTCACTTCCACAGTGCCCCTTCCAGGGGATGGAACACACATGACATCATAAGGAGTGTTTTGGGAAGTAATTGCTAGCTTGGGTTCAGCAGACCGTTTGCATATTCTCTGAGACTCACCTGGATGATTTTCTGCTGGAAACAGCAAAGAGCATTTTGCAAGGATGGAGCCCGAGGATGGTGATGGTTGGAGGGAGGACTCACGGCTCACGGCTCATACTTCCCCCTACCTAGCGGCTGGTGGGGTCATCCACCGTGGTGCCCAAAACTTGTTTCATTCCCAAAATTGGGTCTGAATCCAGTTTGGAGAGGATCCAAACAATCCAAGAAAACCTGGAGTAGATTTGCCGCCACCTGCCATAAGATCTTGACCAAAAATAATGGGTCGGGACTGGCCTTGCACTCTTGTAGAGAGACACTGGATCATGGCCCTCCTTCAAAGAAGCCTTTGCTGTTGCCAGGACCCCTTTGCTTCTTTTTACCAATCAGTGTGGATCCAGATCCAACAAAGAGATGATTTGTTTGCTCCTGTCTGCAGGCCAAACGAGGTGAAACTCGCCCAGCAAGGCTGGACCGGGAGATGCCCCCATTGCTTCCATAGGACTTGCACCCAAAACAGAGGCCCAGTCAGAGCAGCTGGGAATAATTCAATCCACGTTTTGCAAGCTCGGCCCAGTGGGTTGATCAATCAGTCAATGTGTAGATTGCAGGGCCGCATCTCGAAGCCCTTCCCCCTCCCTGGAACCCTCTGCCAGTGGCGAGGGCACGAAGGAGAAGACAAGGGCTCTGGTGTCCCCCTGGTACCATGACGGGAAAGTATCTACAAAGATCCTTTTGAGAGCCTCTTAAGAAATTGCTGCTGAGCAAATCCCAAGTTTTCAGATCACCCCAGTATGAAGAGCTGCTGATGCTGGCGGGGAAGAATTGGCACAGCCTTACCTCTAGCCATTCAGGCGGCCTCTGAGGCTGGACTGGTTGGTGCTGTTTGGTATCATGCTCCGCGATTCTTTTGTCTAGGACGCAGGCCCTTCTCTTCCCGGCCGGACATCCTAGTCTCCGGGCTTTCCCCCTACATGATGTCATTCCAGTTTTGCCCTGACCTTCCTCCCGGTTGATGCTTTGGACACTTTAAAAATAAGGGAAGAGATTCCATGGGCCCATCGGAGCAGCCCAAACCGCTGCCATACGCTCATTTGCTGCAGAACTCTTAGCAGTGCTTAATCCAAGTGGAAGCTGCTGGATTTTCTGGGGGGTTGGTGAATACGGCCTTCAAGCAGAAGCTTGCAAGGTGGCACCAGTGGCAATGCTGCCTCCTCGCAGCCGAGCCTTGTAGGTCTGAGTTGTCTGCAGGGGTAAGTTTTCACCCCTCCTTCCCTTCCCTTCCCTTCCCTTCCCTTCCCTTCCCTTCCCTTCCCCTTCCCTTCCCTTCCCTTCCCTTCCCTTCCCTTCCCTTCCCTTCCCTGTAAAGGGGAGGGGGATGTGGGAATGTGCTACTTGGGCTGGGAGAAAGGCGAGTAGGGCAGTCTACCCCCCTTTCCTTGCAGTTCTTCGGACTCCGTGCAGCTGCTATTAAGCAACCTTTTAGCAAGTGGAGCAGTGACAGCCCATTGCTCTTTTGCCCTGATGGGGGAAGGTGCAGCTTGCATTTCGGGGAGAAGCCAAGAAGGCCTGCAGGCCGGTGCTGGCAGTCTGGGCTAGACTACCTTGGCCGTCTGCCGGTGCCCAATCCCCCTTTTGTCTCCCTTGCAGGCCTCCATCAGAAAGGACAAAAACTGCTGCAGATACTGCCTTGCTCTTCTGGGTCTTGGAGGGTGGCCGCTTTGGGTGAGGTGGGATAGACAGGAGATGGAGAAGTCAGGCGCGCGACACGCCGTTCAGGAGGTCCCAGCACGCACATCCAGGATCCTGGGAGGCTAAGGGTACTGTGGATGATGTGCTCCGGAGCAAGGCCTGTCTGTTTCGTCTGTCTGATGAGCGCAGCCTCGGTGACTTCTAAGCCGATGGGCAGCCAGCCCAAGACGGCACTGCCAATGCATGAGCTTAGCAGGTTGCGGGGGACGCGTTTCCTCCTCTTGGCTCTGCAGGAGGAAACGGTGTTCCTAGAGACCCTGCTACAGCCTTCCTCGGTGCCTGACTTCAGGTTTTGCATCCTTTCTGGGCAGTATGGCCATCGGGGTCGCAGCCAGCATGATGGTGAACCACACTGGAGTGGGGTTGGGGCACACATGCCCGTGTGTGCGCTTGTGCGTTCCCACAAACACGCGTATATTAAAATCGGTACCCCACCATCCATGTCTCGGTGGACTCTTGGGTGCAGGCAGCATTATACTCAAACAGCGTTACGTCAGGGAAACCCTTTCAATCTTGTGCCGTCATTGTCCTCAAAAGCAGCCAGCCATGAAGCACGGCAGAAAAACCTGTCTGGCGGATTTAAGCCACGTCTAGCAAGGAGACCAGGGCCAGGATCTGCTGATAAGGATGTGTTCCTTATCAGTACACAAAGTTGTGAAAGCGGTACACAGGAAGAAAATGGATGCTTTCGAGGCGCGCTGCTGGAGGAGAGCTTTGTGAGTGCCCCGGGACAGCAAAAGGACCAGCACGTGGCCGAGAGCAGATCAAGCCAGAAGAGCTGAGCGGGGCTGTGGAGGACAGGGCAGTTTAGAGGGTGTTCATTCACAGGGTCGGACGCAACCTGACGGCAGGATGTCCGTAAATCAAGGCTGGTTCCCGTAGGCTGCCATCGAGGATTGCACAGGCAGCCTGACACAGTCACAGGAGCCTGTTCCTGTTGGAGGTTTTGCAGCTGGCCGAGATAACCTTGCAGGCTGCATGCCGGCTGCATCTTGCTGAGCTAGCCCTCCTCATCCCCGAGAGCCAGAAAATTCAGGTAGTTGTGGGGACGGTTGGGCGTGTGGAGACGTCACTTTCCTGTCAAGGACTCTGAAAAAAGCTTCTGTACAGCCTGAAATAGCTGCACGTGCGGACTCTCGGAGTTTTGGGCCTTCGTGCAGAAATGCACATGCCACTAGAAATGTAGAAGCCACGTGCCTGCGATTCCGGAGAGAGAATGAGAGAGAGAGAGAGCTTAATAGAGCTCTTTATCACACAGGTTTCTGTGCACACAGCTGGGAAAGAAAACACTAAACCTGGAAGACTGGTGCTAAACTGGGCACTGAATGTAGTGTGGCCTTTTTTCATCGCTTCGAAACTTCAACTGCTGGTATGATGGACATGTGGTGGTTTTATTTTCCTTTTGCCCTTTCCAATCTGAGAGTCAAACTAGTAGTGGTTCGGGAGGGGGATTAGGAAAGGAGTGAGCTGGGTTTTCCCAGCCCATTTGTAAAGGCTCTGCTGGCTGGGGATGATAGGCTTGTCTGTCAAGGCACCCAGAGAGCACTTGACTGGAGAAGGCTGCACTTCAGGTTTGCTGCCACAATTCCCGCTGGAAGTAAATGCTTATATCGCTGTGTAGCTCCCACTTTCCCAGTGGGCTGAATCCAAACTGGCCACCTCTGCTCAACGAAGCAGCAAGTCCAAAAATCCTTGGCGGGTGGGGGCCGGCAGGGGGGTCAACATTAACAGTACAGTGTAGACAGGAGTAGGAATTTGGAACCACCTGCTTTTGATGCTCTTCTGCTTGATAGAATCCCTCTCTTACCTGTAGGTTTATGTATATGTGAGTGTGTATATGCACTTGTAACTCTGGATAACTCATAATAATAAATGCGTTAGTCTTTAAGGGGCTATAAGATTCTCTGTGGATTTTGCTCCAGCTGACTAATAAGGCTACTTACCCTTCCCACATCCCCTGAAGGACTCTTCTGTTGCTTGTCCATCAGGTGTCAACAGCTTAGTGGTTAAAAAGGCCTGGAGTGCATCTAAAAAGCTGTAATGCCCATGCTGGCTGGGGAAGATGGGAGTGGTAGTCCAGCCCCCTGAAAAGCCGCACGTCGGGAAAGGCTGAAATAGATTCGCCTGAGGCATACCAACCTGCATCGGCTGGAGTTTGGGGTCCCCAGCACTCCAGTTCCATCAGTCAGAGGCAGATTATCTTACTTTTTATAAGGGAGTTTCCTTGTTCCAGGAATCTGGTTGGGCCTTTATCCCGCTTGTATCACGTTTGCCCATATGGTATGCCGTTTTGCACGCGACTGTGTTAGAGTGCTATCTTGTTCCTCTCTTTCGGCTTGTGGAGTGGAGGGAACTAGAAAGACTCCTGGAGTTGTGGGCGTCTGTGTCCCTTCCCACTGTCATTCCCGGGAATTCTTTGAGCAGTCTGTGCACTTTGAGTTGTCATTGCCGTTGTCCTCCAGAGGCACGAGCCCTTCATGTTCAAGGTGCTGCTTCCTTAATTGATCTAGTGTTCTTGCAATTTTTATGATGTCCTTTTTATAAAGATAAAATGTTTGCTGCCCGCTAATTGCCTGCTGCCCTCTAACCTCCTTTCCTCCCTTCTTTGCTTTCTCAGAAATGCCCTTCAAAGGATCGTGCGAAACACTGAGGGAGCTGTAATGTCTGGAGCTGTGCAGAGGGGCTGGTCTCCAAAGGTAACGCTTCTCCTTTACGGCATGATGTTTCTAAGCCACAAGTTAGGGAGTACAGAGAGAGCTGGCACAGGTGTACAGGATGATGCCTGGGGTGGAGAAAGCGGAGAGAGAAGCATTTTTCTCCCTTTCCTGCAGTAAAACTGCGAGTCGCATCCCATAAAACTCACTGGTGGGAGATTCAGGAGAGAAAAACAGGTGTCCTGTGGGGAAAGGAGGGCCCCATTCTTGATAAAGCTGCTCCCAAAAGATGGCCACCCTTGAAAGGAGGGTGGACACATTCCTAACGGAGGGGACTGCTAGCAGCTGCTGGTCCTGATGGCTCAGCACCAGAAGCAGGATGCCTGTGGGCACCAGTTGGTTGCTGGGGATGCTGAATGGGTTGGTGCTGATCCACACCTGTCCTTGTGAATTTCCTGCGCTTGGCCTCTCAGTGAGCGGAGCTCAGCTCTCGGTGGCCCCTTGAGCTGATCCAGCAAGGCACTTCCTCAGTTCTTCTGAGCAGCACAAGGTTTCTTGCTGGCCGAACCCTTTTCTGCATGCACAGCTGATGTGCTGACTTTTAGAAGAAGTTGGATCAGTCGCTGTACTGCTGGATGGGCTAGGAAATGGGTGGGGACTGCATTTTATTTGTCTCCCTAGATATTCCCTGCTTCAGAATGGATGTTGCCCTGGAGTTCATCTTGGTCTGGGGTGTGTGTTTAAATCCAGGCTTTGAAATTGCCGTCCCGGAGGCTTTCTGAACCGTTTTCCGGGGGGTTTGAGAGACAGAAATGACGTCGTATAAATCCCCTTGCAGTCCAGAGGGTGTGTACCTATAGCAGGCGGCTCGCTGCGCGCTTTGCATGGTTTCCCTTGCTGGCTTTACCACCTCCCAGGCGGCCCTTGCTGGGTAGCTGTCGTTCTTCTACATCTCTGTATGCCTTGGACTGGCATTAGTCGTTTTATGTTTCTGAGTTCCTCCTGATGTGCCCCGCCAGTACACGGTTCATGAATGCTTTAGCTGGTGTTATGTTGAGCTGGCTCTGGCCACACCACAGTGGCAGAAGAATCCATAGTGGCATGACTGCGCGTGACGATCCCAGCGTCTCTGGTTCAAAGGTTCATGGCTAACAATACTCGGAAAGATCTTGCTTTTCAGAATAGACAGCGCTGATAGGAAACAGCCTCTGGTAGATTCAGATGTTGATGCGCGCACACCCCTAGGCAGTCAAAGTGTCTCCGGGTGGTGGAGGATTTCGGGCTGGAGAGATTATTCGCTGCATTCCGGGATCTTCCTTTATAATAGGAGTGGTCGTAACTTCTCGAGGTGCTGTGAGTCGCACAAGACTCTCGCAAGTCCGTTAATACCTTTCTTGATGGCACTGGCGGATTCTGCCACTTCTTCTGCCTGGCAGTTTAAACCGCTCTAAGCCTGGGTTTAGCTCCACAGTCTCCGTTGTGGGCGGCCTTGTCTGGGTTGGGATTGTCGCTGCAGCGGTTGCAATGCAGAAGGGGTGGCCCCTGGTCGACTGCGGAGGGCAGGTATGCCAGGGAGCAGGAGTACGGCTGAGAGTTCGGAGCAGTGTTTTGTTCAAGGCTAGGCCATGCTGCTGGTAAGGACTTAAATTATTAGTTAGACCTCGAAGGTTAGTCAAGGGTTGGAGAAAAAGTCAGCTGTGGGGGCAAAGAACAGATGGGGCATAGAATCAAAGCTAAAGATTTCATGCCAATCAAGCAAATACGATATTTGGATGAATGAGAATTTTGTGTCTGTTTGCATGTCTCATTCACCATGACAAACCCAAACAAGAATTTTTTTTGAGAAATGTTTGCAAATGTCCAAATTTAGTGCCTGCATTAAAATGGACATTTCAGAATACACTTTTTAAAAATACAGGCGTGGCCAAGCCCAGGCCTGGGAGCCACACATGATTCTTTGAGTTAATTTTGAAGCTTGTCACTTGCTGCTGCGGGTATTTGGCTCTTCCCTTGAGCATGTTCGGCCACCCCTGCTATAGCCTAAAGGGGAACATGCAAACTGGATGTCCCTTGGCTTCTTGTTCTGAAATTGTGGGCAAGGAACGGTGGTTGTTGCCAGGAAATTGGGGGCGGCGGCTTTTGAGAATCTGTTGCGTCTTAGGATATAAAACGTGCACGAAAAGTCCTTTGTATGCTGTTGGTAGCAGTGCAGGTGGACCTGGTTAAGAACAGTGCTTGCTGTTCTGTGTAACATTTATCCGGTTATTCTGCCGCAGAAGATGGTAAGGTGAAAGGAGCTGCTTTGGCTGAAGAGCAGCTGCATAGCTTCGTTGGAACGCGAACAGCATCCCTCTGCCAACTCTTCTCTCAGAGATTTGCGTCTCCCCTGAGCATCTGATGCTTTCCGTGGCGAAGTGTGATTTGTCCCAATATCTGCATTGAACAGTTGGCCCAGCCTGAATGGCTCTCATGGCTGACCCTTTAGATGCCTAATTTAAGTAAGTGGCCTGCCCTGGGCAGACATCCCTGAGAGCAGACCAGGCACTGCTCTCCTTTTAGGTGTGACTTGTGGCTTGAAAAAATGAAAGCTGAAGTGTATTGGGCGAATGTCACATTTAGTTGATCTTAGAAGATAGCGGCAGACTTCTGCTGCCGTTGCTCCTTTGGGGGTAGTGGAGAACAACCGTGAATGGCCCGTTGACTGGGGAACCCCTGCTCCAGCCAGCTGCCCGCTGAGGATCATGCGCACACACCAGCATCTCATGCGCACACACCAGCATCTCATGCGCACACACCAGCATCTCCACAGCTGAGTTTATCCTGGGGCTAGGAATGAATGGCGAGCCTGTTTCCTCAGGCCTTAAGCCGCAAGGTGGAATAAATGCAGCCTGTCTGGTATATTTACAAGGCGTTGGGAGAACGCCCCACCCCTTCCTGAAAAAGTCCATGAATGTGTTTGAGGAGCAAGAGGAATTCGGAAAGACTCCTCTAGCATGGAACAGACCACACCTGGGTAAGAGCCGCCTGTGTGGACTTTGGCCGGCAAAGAAGCTAAGCAAGGCCCATGAGCACAGCCCGGCCAGTCATTCCTTCTGGCCGGGGAGCCAAGGAAAGCATTGCCCTCGCAGGACTGTGGGCAGGATCCGGGAACGATCCCTGGTCCTGTGGATACGGTGCCACTTTGCCCCTGTCCGTGTGCTTATTGTCCTTCTCAAATAATTCTAGTAGGTTAGTGGAGTCAAGACTGAGCTGCGTTAGAAGCCACGTTGATTCATTTTTAGCAGGGCTTGTCACTCTCTGGGCTTACTGATTCAGTCTCCAATGATGCTTTCAAACAATTTAGCCTGTAATTTCTCAGATCCCCCTTTAAAAATTGGTGTTATTGGCCATTCTCCAGTCCTCAGTTACAGAGGCTGACCTTAGAGGCATATTAAATATTTTTGTAAGAAGGTTGGTATTTTCATGTTTAAATCCTTTTGGACTCTAGACTGGATACTGTTTGGACTAGGTGATTAATTTATCAGTAAGGTTGAGAAATTCATCTTTTGTTTACTCTCTGCTTTACTTCCCCCTTCATTCAATGAGACTTCCCTTCCAGAATGCATAAGTTCAGCAACAGTTCTGGTCTCTGTGCTCCACTGTGAAGACAGATAAACAATCCATTCGGTCTCTCTGCACTCTCTTATCCTCCTTTAGTGGTCATTTAACTTCATGGCCATCCAGCTGCCTGCCTAGCGGGTTTCTCCTGATATATGTAAGGAATTCTTTATTGTCTGCCTTGATGTTGTTAGCAATACGTATGCTCCCCTTTGCGTCTCTCGCTGCCTGCTCGCATCCCCCCTGTGCAAGGTTGTGCTGCTCCCTCTGGTTTTCCTGATTCGGGTGAGATTTCAATTTCTTGAAGGAAGTCTCATTTCTCTAGTAGCTCCCTTGACTCGATTTGTTCATTCTGCTGGTGACCTCTTGGCCTTTGTGCTCTTTGCCCACTCGTGGTGCGCATACTATCCTTGCCTCCTTATTGTGGTCTGAATGATCTGCAAGCATTTGGAGTAGATCCAACCCTCATGACTTCCCTCTTGAACGTCTCTTTTTTACCAGTTCCCTCACTGTAGAGCAGTTTCCTCTTTTGAAGTCAAACGCCACCGAGTTGGACCTCTTTAGCAGTCTTTCACCTGGCTGTACATTAAATCTGATAGCGGTCACTGCCTCCCGTTGGTTCAACAACATTAGCATGTCCTACTGTGTCCAAGAGCCTAATGCTGGGAACAATTGACGGCAAAAGAGGAAGGGGGCGGCAGAGGATGAGGTGCCTGGATGGAGTCACTGAAGCCGTTGGTGTGAGCTTAAGGGGACTTCAGGGGATGGTGGAGGACAGGAGGGCCTGGAGGAATGTTGTCCATGGGGTCGCGATGGGTTGGACACAACTTCACAACTAGCAGCAACAACAACTGTGTCCTGAGCAACCCCACCTGAGATTAAATCCAGGCTTGCCTCCCCTCTGGTTGGTTCCATGACCAGCTGCTCTAGGGCACGATCATCTGGGACACTGAAAACTTCTCTGTCAGAACTGGAACATGAATTGAACACACATACCCAGTCAGTGTGTGGGTAGGTGAAGTCCCCCATTATTGGAGGACTGCTTTTGTTTGAGGCCTCCCTGATTTCGTTCTTCATCACAAGATCACGTGCATTCTGGTCTGGAGGACAATAGCCTATACCCAAGACTGAAGTAGTCTTGGAGCTTGGTGTTGTCTCACGCCATACTTCCGGTGAGAGCCTGCACATTTAGAGTTTCAGGCCTGATGGGGAAGCAAGATCAAGTCTTGTGCGAAAATGGACCTTGGTGTCTGGTGTCAAATTGAGCATCCTGAAAATCTGCACTTTTCATTTGGGCAAAGCAGAGAAGTTTCTAGCCCTCATGCACAGAAAGAGAGCAGGAGATGTCTGAAAATGAGTCTGGGGACAGTGCCATGTCAGAGAATGCTTCAGTGTTCTGCTGAACTATCACCTGAAGCATTTCTGTAGTCTTCCCCAGCTGAGCC